TCGATCACGTGCTTTACCGGGCAGCTGTTGGGTCTGTGCGTTTGGGAACCTACGGGGAGTGGCTGGACCTAAGGGCTGGGTCAGTCTCACCTAGCTTCAGCCATGGCGGGGGCACTCAACCAAGAGCGTTACCACCTTGCACAGGCATCGCCGGTGGGCAGCTCAGTCCTGCATGAGGTCTTAAGGTGCTTGGGAAACGTTCTCCTCTCCCCCGTGGCTTTGGAAGGAGCTCTCAGAGCATCAGCTACTGCCCAAGGACAGCGGGTGGCTCCGTGACCACGCGTTACCACACTACGCCAGCCCCAGCTCCCGCTTACAGTTTAACGAAAGGGTCCGAGTATCCGTTGGCATCCATGGCTGCTAAATGCACGCAACGTACGATGCCGACAATCAGGCCGCCCTGCTGGGTGCTGTACATGAGGGACACGAGGATCTTCCCACGCTCCTCCACATCCCCGCCACGATCTACCTGCAAGAGGAAGCGACCAGAGATGGGGACACGGGAGCTGAGCGAGGAAGACGGTCAACTGCCGAGCAGATAAGACAAGATGGATGCTAGGGAAGCTTGTATCCCCACGAGGGGGGAAAAAAAGGGGCTCGTACATGAGAGATGATGGGTGAAACATGCATGAAGCGTGTCTTTCTCCAAGGACTCTTACCTCCTCTTCATACAGTGCCATCCCACGGGATGAGCCGGTTGTTCCAGCACGCTTCATCTTGGATGGGGAAGGAAAAAAGAGACTGCCGTGAGTGACCGCAGCTGGGAGAGGCACCGTCCTACGGCAAAACCACCCCCAGGAGCCCAGCCCAGCTCTTTCGCTGGCCTCTGGAGTGGAAGGGGGCTCAGGTACATTCATCTGCCCCATCAACCTCCACCTCAGCAGACTCAGCACCTCGCCCCCAGCACTGGGCAGCAGAGCTCAGGGATGGAGCAACCTGCCCTCTCCTCCACAGCGACACACATCAGCATAGGCTGGCAACGCCAGCAGTTCAGCGGCCACCGGGGAGGTCCCCAGAGTCACTTCCCCTGGATTCCCACCACGCTCTTATCTCCTGGCCTCCATCAGCCCAGACATGGGTGGGAATCCGACTCCTCAAGATGCCAGTGAAATCAGGCACCTACAGCTCTTGGCTCTTCCAGCTCCAAGCTCACCACTAGCTCCCTCCCATGCCATTTGTTAGCAACCTCAACATGAATGGTAGCAGAAAGAAATTTCACCAAAACTCACTGGTATTACTCTCTCCAAGCAGATGTTGAAGTTCTTTTTCTGATTGGCTTTGAGTTTTTTCAAGGAAACTCTAGTTTCTCCAATAAACTCATTGTGGCCAAATTTATCTTCATCGCACACGGAGATCCTGAAGGGAACAGGAAAGGTGAACATCAGCCAGGCTGGAGCAGTACCTGAGTCCGGAGCACAAAAGCACTCCTGCAAGGGCACAGCTCGGGGGGTGGACAAAGCAAAGCACCATCGAAGCCTCCATCCATCTGGCTCTCCTCTGACCAAAAGCGGTCAGAAAACCGAACTTCTGTTTTGCCAGAAAAATCAACATTTTTAATATGTGCTCTGCGATGCGGCAAGAAATCGAAAGGTGGAAATTTCCTGAAGGAAGGAAATGCCAAAAATTTGAGACATCTAAATGTTTTGCTGGGACGCTGTCAAATCATGCACAGATATGCAACACACAAATCTCTATGCTGATAAGAATAACAGTAATGCCAATAATTTAATATTAAATGACAGGGGCAAAATGCCTTCCGTTCTCTTTTTAAAAAGGACCATCAAAATCACCACGTTCATGGGAAGGATGTTGATTTTGACCAAAACCTCTGCATTTCCAGGTGTTCTACCAACACCTGCACTTCGCTGCCGGTGCCCTCCTGAGGAAGGCTGGCTTGCGATGCTCCGCGCGAGGAGACCCACGGTCCCCATCCCACCACACCCCAGCCCCTCCCCTTGCCTGAGGGTTTTCCTTTGCATGTCCTCATCTGTGATGCCGTGGTACACCAGGGTCTCATTCCACACAGGGTTACGGGTGTTGCGCAGAGTCTTCGTTCTCAGCTTATTTGACTACGGCATCAAACCAAAACACGGCATAATTACGCCCCTGAGCTCCTCCCCACCTAAATTTAGGCTCCTGGCAGAGGAGTGTAAATTAGACACTCCATCACCTCTGGCTCACAAGAGGTGGTTTGACCAGGGCATGGAGGACCCTGCGGGACATCACCGCTGCTTGCTGAGGCTGTCATGCCGGCGAGCCATCAACTCCAAGCCAGCATCACCAACCCAACAAGGTTTATGCAAGCACCGGGGACTCTGTGGCCTGCATGGCCAGGGCACCCTTCAGCACCCAGCTTTCTTCACTCTCTGGGGTCTACTCCCTCAAGGACACTTGTACAAGAAAAAGTTGCAGAGGGCAGGCTGTGTAGGGTTTGGGTAACGGCTCTCGTGGTCTAAAGAAGATGACAGCTTGGGAAATGAGGAGCTCTGTCACTTGTTCATGTGTCTTTCACAAACACACGTGCAAAATAAAAAATTAAAAGGGAGATCAGCAAACAAGAGAGCAATAGAAATCAAAGCAATTCCTAAGATCACTACACCTTGATTTACTCTGCACAAGACCAGAAAGTCCCCGCACATAAAATAAACCTGTAAATATCAATCCAACAGTTTTATTATCCGTTTTCCCCCTTGTTTTACACTTAGTTCCTCTGGGCAAAACTCTGCTGCAGGAAAGAGCTTTGCAGCCCCCGAGCAAGGAGCCAGCACCCCTGGGGCATCGGGCCAGCGGTGGTCATCCCTTCCTCAAAGGTTTCCCCACCGAGATCAGCTTAGCTGGACTGGGGAGTGAGATTTCCAGAGCTTTCTTGGATGGGGGGGGGTTTACTCAGAGTTTATTCAATAGTTATTTCTTCACAGCTCTAATGAGAACACGCTGCAGCTTCAAAGTAAATGGATCTTTCAAACTCCGGTAATAATTAGATTTTGTGTCAGACGTTTTGCGATGCACTAACAGTGTCACCTCCTCTGGAGCTCCCCCCCTCCACCCCTGAGCAGATCCCTGTCTGCAGGACGAGCTGTTCCTCAGGTATGGGAGAGCATCTGCAAGCATCATCACTTTCCAGAGACACCTCCCGGCTAAAATAGCAGCAGTGAGCGACTGCGCAGAGAAATCAAGGGGAGGAAGTCTGAAGCAAGGTAGGGACCTCAGGGGGCTTTGAGAAACCTCTGCTGCATCCCCAGCCCAAAACGCTCCCCAACCAGGCAAAGCCTCACCTTGCTGGCTCCAGGCAAGAGGTGCAGTTTGACGTAGGGATCCGCCAGGCCGTTTGAGTCCATCGGTTTTAAGCCCTAAAAGATAATAAAGAAAACACAGTGCCTGAATCCTCCTTAAGCAGAGCCAGGGAAGAGAAAAAGCGACCCATGAAACAACTCAGTAAAGAGAAAGGTGTTCAGCAAGCCAAGAGCCTTGTTCTCTGTCCTGAGCAGGCGTGGGTGCCACGATGCACTGAAATACCAGACCCACTCGAGGAAAAGCCCCACAGACCTCTCAGACCCACTCGAGGAAAAGCCCCACAGACCTCTCAGACCCACTCGAGGAAAAGCCCCACAGACCTCTCGTCCCCAGCCAGGAGCAGCGGTGCCAGCGGGGCCGGGCTGGGTCTCCCAGGGGAGCAGCGTCTGGAGCAGCCACGCTGCTCCCAGCCCATTGCACTGGGGGAGCTGGGAGCCAGATGGACTTAAATCGGTGAAAGAAGAGGAAAAAAAGGGGACCACTTACTTTGGCCTTGATGAGGGTGCAGTGCAGGGAGCTGTTCTCCTGGTCGTAGAGCAGGCTGAACTCCAGTGCTCCCAGCGTAGCTGACAGCGGAGCGGGGAGAGAGGAGTTAGAAATAGGACCTCATTAAAACCCCAGCCAGTAACTGTTTAATCAGCCCTGATTAGTAATAATTAGAAAGATTTGTGGTTCAAATGTAAAGCCATTTAAAGCACGTAGGTCTTTAAGTGGCTTCAGCCAAACTGCCACACGCAAACCCAGCCAGATCCACGAGCTCTGCTCACCAAAGCTTTACAAAGCTGGAGCTGCCCAGGGTACAGGGAGGGCAGCTCGGGGCTTTGGAGCTGATTTTAATATTCAACCAGGCAAAGGAGGATGTAACAGTACAAACCCTTCTCTGGGCACAGCTCGGGGAGGCAATGCCACCCCAGGACCACCCTGAGAAGGTGTTTCAGCTCGGGTGGCCAACGTCTCCTCCCAAGGCTTGGGGCTTGGCCCCCGTTTTGACTTGTTGGAAAGCAGCTTGTCTTCAGGTGCTCACCAGGAAAAGGTGACAGGGATGAGGAGTTAGCACAGAACCTCAGCTGGGTCCGTCTGCTGCTATCCAGGCACTATATCTGCACTCGCTCCTGGCCTGGAGCAGCTCTTCCCATCCTGGGTGGGAACAGGCTGGACAGGCGAGGCAATGCCCTGCCACGGACGCTCACCCCCATGCAGCAAACTCCCTCGTTAGGGGAGCAAATGACTGAACACCGAGATCTCACGGCGTAAAGGTACTGAAGCCACCAACGCCACGGGTCCGGTGGCGTTGCGCGCAGCAAGGGATGCTCTGACGGGAAGAGGCAGCC